AAAAAAAACAGATAAAAGAAACACTATATAATGGCTTTATGAATTATTTTATTGAGGAAGGAGATATTGTTCAGATAATATTACAACTTAAGAGTTAAAAATCACTATAAAAATAATTATTATTATTAATAAATAAATTGAATAATATAATAATAATTATTAATAAATAATTTTTTTAAAAAAAATATCCCGGGACAGGACAACCCCGTCCCGCGTCCCGTCCCGTCCCGGTCACTGTCCCGTCCCGTCCCATACTTGTCCCGTCCCGAAATTTTTTTTGTCCCGTCCCGTCCCGTCCCGAACTCACCGGAACCAGGACGGGACGACCGGGACGGGACAAATTGAACACCCCTAGCTATCATATTAATTTACTGTAATCCCAAATTCATTAGAAAAGTAGTTAGAGAGTGATATGTGGCTATCACATTAATGATTAATGTAATCGCAAGTTCATTAGAAAAGTAGTTAGAGAATGATATATGGCTTCATTCTTGATACATGTGCTCACAATACAAACTAGCACTTATTTGCATATAAAGGTTAATTTATTTGATAAAGAGTTAACTCATAATTTATAAAGTTATAAGTTCAAATTTTGTTACTAACACATGATCAAGAAAATTTTTGTTACTAACAAAAGAAATTTGTTAATAAACAATCTGTAAATACCTCTCTATATGCTCTTTGAGCTTAAAAAGTAGAAACGTGCCTTAATTCTGGCAAGTTCCGAGATCCAACTCATAAACTTTTAATAATATTAAAAAAAATAAAAAGTATAAAATAGCACTTTTACAATGGGATCTCGACAAGTGTTTGTTGGAGGAATAATGTAAAAAGTACTACGGTTGTTATAAATAAAGAAAAAGAATAGAAAAGAAAATAATATCAATAAGAGAGAGTATTTCTCATTCCATTCAAGGGTACTGAATACATTATACATGGCCTCTATTTATAGGCATAGCTTTACATCTTTGATAGAATCTACAGATATAAAAGATAATTGCAGATAATGGGGATAATGGGAGATATTGAAGATACTGGGAGATAAGGGAGATAATAATAGATATATAGATATCCATCAAGATATTATATTCATAACACTCCCCTTTAAATGTCCATAACTAAATATATGCTTCATTAAAAAACTTCTACTAAGAAAACCTTGTGGGACAAAACCTAGTAGAAGAAAAAGAGCGCAACATTTATTGATATATATTTCATAGTGCTGCCTCGTTAAAAACCTTGCCAGGAAAACCTAATGGGAAAAACCATAGACAAGGAAAAAAGAGTACATCATGCATTTACTCCCCCTCTTGACAATGTCAATTGATATCTTTGAGTCTGTGAAGTCCAATGTCATGAATAAGTTTCTTAAATGTGGTGGCTAGAAGTGATTTGGTGAATAAGTCTGCTAAATTTTCACTGGAACGAATTTGTTGGATATTGATTTCACCATCCTTTTGACGGTTATGAGTGAAGAAGAATTTGAGGGAGATATGCTTTGTTCTATCTCCTTTGATGTACCCTTCTTTTAGTTGGGTAATACATGTAGTATTATCTTTATATAGTATTGTTGGGATCATTTTACCAGAAGACAAGCCACAAGCAGTTCGTATGTGATGTATTAAGGACCTTAGCCATACACATTCCCAACTTGCTTCATGCATTGCTAGAATCTCTGCATGGTTAGATGATGTGGCTGATATAGTTTGTTTCATAAATCTCCATGAAATGGCTGTACCACCACATGTAAATAGATAGCCAGTCTGTGATTTACTAACATATGGGTCAGACTGAAATCCAGCATCTGCATAGCCAACAAGATCGGTCTTGGATGCATTCGAATAAAATAATCCCATGTCCATTGTACTCTTAGGATAACGAAGGATGTGTTTAACTCTATTCCAATGCCTTCATGTTGGTGAAGAATTATATCTTGCTAGTAAGTTGACTGCAAATGATATATCAAGTCACGTATGATTAGCAAGATACATTAGTGCTCTAATTGCACTAAGATATGGTACTTCTGGACCAAGTAGCTCTTCATCACCTTTTTTCCCAATTTCTCGAGGTCTAAAAAGGTCCTTATCCACCTCCAAAGATTTTACAACCATTAGAGTATATAATGGCTGTAATTTATCCATATAAAAACGTTCTAGGATTTTTTTTGTATAAGTTTCTTGATATACAAAAATTTCATTATTCAAATACTCAATTTGTAATCCAAGGTAAAAAAATTTCTTCCTAGATCCTTCATTTCAAATTCTTTCTTTAGGCAAGTCACTATCTTTTCAAGCTCTTCAGGAGTTCCAATGATATTTATATCATCAACATACACAGCGATTATAATAAACTCATTTCCTGATCTTTTCATAAAAATGCATGGGCATATTGCATCATTTTTATATCCTTCCCTCAATAGATACTTACTAAGTCTGTTATACCACATTCGCCCTGATTGCTTTAATCCATATAGGGATTTGTTTAACTTAATTGACTATCGTTCTTGAGAGTTTGAATTGTATGCTTCTGCCAATTTCAGCCCTTCAGGGGGTCTCATATAAATGTCATTGTCAAGTAAGCCATACAGATAGGTTGTAACAACATAGATGTAAATTGAGCCTTTTATTTACTGCGAGGCTAATCAAGTATCAAAAAGTAGTTACATCCACTACAGGTGAATAAGTTTCTTCAAAATCGATACTAGGTCTTTGTGTAAACCCTTGGCAACAAATCATGCCTTGTATCTTATGATTTCATCCTTTTCATTTCTCCTTCACATAAAAACCCATTTATACTCAACTGGTTTTACATCTTCAGGTGTGAGGATTACTAGTCCAAAAATGTTTTGCTCTTCTAGCGATTTTAATTTTGCCTCAATTGCATCTTTCCATTTTGGCCAATCCTTTCTTTGTTTACATTCACTAATTGACTTTGGTTCATGATCCTCATTATTATTCATCACATTAAGCGCTACATATTATAAAAGAAAATATCATCAACGTCAACTTCAGTTTGGTCCAATCGTATCCCATTCATAACATAATTAATTGAGATTTCATCATTTTCACATATTTTAGGTACCTGACTTTTACTAGGAATTTGGACGTTAGCGTTGTCTAATGACTCTTTTGGAGTTGTTAACTTTTCTAAATTATTCTCAACTAGGCCATCTATACTTTTAGCTCCTTTTTTCTTTCGAATATTTTTATCTTTGGAACCGATGGGCCTGCCACGCTTCCTATGTACTTTAGAATCATTCACAATTGGTTATCCATCAGGGACATCAATTTTAATAGGAGCATTAACCGCTGGAACATGTGATTTTGTTTCTCTCTTCGGGTCAATAAATACATCTGGTAATTGATTAGCTAAACTTTGTAAATTGACTATCTTTTGAACTTTCAGTTCACATTCTTTTGTGCGAGGATCAAGATGAGATAGTGATAATTCTTTCCAGTTAATGTCCTTTTCCAACTTCTTATTTTCTCCCCTCATTGTTGGAAAGATTAACTCGTCAAAATGACAATCGACAAATTGAGCCGTGAACAAATCTCCTGTTAACGGTTCTAGATATTTTATTATAGCCGGAGATTCATATCCAATATATATCATCATCCTTCTTTGAGGCCCCATCTTGGTACGTTATGGGAGAGCAATTGGAACATATACAGCACATCCAAAGGTTCTTGGATAGGAAATATTGGGTTCCTGACCAAAAACCACTTGTAAAGGGGAGGACTTGAGATAACTTGTTGGCCTGATGCGAATTAACATTGTTGTATGCAAAATTGCATGTCCCCAAGCAGAAATTGAAAGATTTGATCTCATAACTAATGGTCTCACAATTAATTGTAAACATTTGATCAATGATTCTGCAAGTCCATTTTGTGTATGCACATGAGCCATAGGATGTTCAATATCAATCCCAAGAGACATACAATAATCATTGAAAGCTTGTGAAGTAAATTCACCAGCATTATCAAGATGTATTTTCTTGATAGGAAAATCAGGAAAATGTGCTTTTAATCTAATTAATTGAGGCCAATAATCTTGCAAACGTCAGGTTACGCGAAGATAATAAACAGACATGCGATCATCTTGTTGATGCATCAATTAGAACCATAAAATATCAAAAGGTCTACAAGGTGGGTGCATTGGTCCACAAATATCTTTCTGTTTACGTTCTAGAAAAGTGAGAGGCTCACTTTTTAGTTTTCCTAGTGATGGTCGAATAATTAACTTTCCTTTGGAACATGCATTATATGAGAAAACATTGGATTGTGGTATTTGTTGACTTTTCAATGAATGTCCACATGAATTCTCAATTTTTTTTTGCATCATAATTGTCCCGAGATAGCCTAATCGATCATGCCAAACATTAAATTTGTTATCATTTATAAACTGCTAGTTTATAATGATGTGTACTTCAATTGTACTAATAATTGTGTAGTACAAGCCAGAAGAAAATGCGGGCAATCTTTTAGTGTACATTGTTTACCTGAGGTTGACTTTGTAATAGCAAGATATTCTTGATTTTCCTCAATTGTTGTTTTGATATGGTATCCATTCTTGCGTATATCCTTAAAACTCAACAAATTTCTTTTAGACTTAGTTGAGTAAAATGCACTATCAATGTATAATATTGTTCCTCCAGGTAACAATATATTGACTCTTCCGGAGCCTTCAATCAGTTTTGCACTTCCAGATATAGTCTGAACATTGGCTTCTTGCACTACTAACGAAGAGAAATACTTTTTATTTCTAAGTATTGTATGAGTTATTGCACTGTCAACAAGACATAAATCTTCATAATTGACGTCAATAGGAGCCATTCTTTGTTACAAGGAACATAGTCAAGAGGGGGGAAACAAAATTAATAAAAGGAAAATACTCATAATTTTATTAATTTGGAAAGATAACAACATTGAAAGTAGAAACTTTATAAAAGAAGATGAAAAAGAAAAAAAATCATAGAAATTTAACATCACTAAAGCAATTTATTGTTGAACATTCCCATCACCAATCAGGTGATCAATCTTTCCATTAGGATCAGCAAAGAAATCAACAATATCCAAATGAGTGACATCCATGTTGTCATAATTAGAATCGCCCTCTTCATGAACAAAATTAGTTTCTACTCTTGGCATTTTGTTGTTGCCTTTACTTTTATCTTTAAGTGATTCTTGATAAAGGTCAACCAAATGTTTCGATGTACGACAGGTATGTGACCAATGACCATTCCCACCACAATGATAACACGAGTCTTCAGAGTGGTTATTACTTCCACTAGTCTTTCTTTTGCGATTCTCATCATTCTTTGCCCTCTTTGAGTAGGAATTTGAACCACCTCGATTATGACCACGACCACGTCCACGGTCAATGTGACAGCCACGTGCGCGTCCATGTCCCCGTCCGTGACCACATGTTGGTCCATTTACTACTACATTCACTTCTGGGAATGGAGTGGACCCGATTGGACGGGATTCATGATTTTTTGTTAAAAGCTCATTGTTTTGCTCAGCTACAAGAAGGCAAGAAATTAGTTCAGAATAATTTTTGAAGCCTTTTTTCACGGTATTGCCATTGCAGAAGCACATTGATTGCATGAAATGTGGAGAATGTTTTCTCTAACATGTCTTCATCAGTGACTTTTTCTCCACATAATTTCAGTTGAGAACTGATTCTAAATATTACAAAATTATACTCACTAACAGATTTAAAATCTTGTAGGCACAAGTGCATCCATTCTTAACGAGTTTTTGGGAGAATGATAGTTTTCTGGTGGTCATACCTTTCTTTCAAACTGTTCTAAAGAATGAGTGGGTCTTTAATGGTCAAATATTCCATTTTTAGTCCTTCATGTAAATGATGGCGTAAAAAGATCATGGCTTTAATCTTTTCTTGATTAGATGCCTTATTTTTTGCTTTAATTGTATCTCCTAGACCATTGACATTTAGGTAAATTTTTGCATCTAGTACCCAAAATAAGTAATTCTTTCCAGTAATATCAAGAGCTACAAACTCAAGTTTTGTAAGGTTTGATATGATGGCACTATCACAAAATAATATAATATTAAAAAAATTGGCACGAATGGAAATTACATTGCTCTTCGTTAATGAAAAGAAAAGAAAAAGAATCATAAATTACCAAAAGGAAACAAATGAAAAGAAAATTAAATGAGAAAGACAAAATTTGGTATATTGTCTCTGCAGATATAAGCATTTTAAAATCATATCTGTCAAATCAAAATAAATTAACAAATAAACAATAAATATTTCTCAAAAATAAATATATACATGGCTTCTAGCCATTTAATCAAATAAAATCAAATTTGAATGACTTCTAGTCATGAGTTAAAAATTATATGGCTTCTAACCATATGTTAGAAAATCAAAATTATGACTTCTGATCATTAAAATAGAAAAATCAAATTATGGCTTTTGGCCATAAAGCAGAAAATAAAGTTTTATGGCTTTTTGCCATAAAATAGAAAATAAATTTTTTATGACTTCTAGCCATAAGAAAGAATAATAAAGTTTTATGGCTTCTAGCCATAAAATAGAAAAATTTAAACCATATGGCTTCAAGCTATTTAGGAAAAGGAAAAAAAAATACTCATAGTGTAGAAGAGTATATAGGATAGATGATAAATCATAATAACACATAGTAATAATAGGAAGATTAGAATATTATACCTTTGTTAGAGCATCGTGCTGATAACGTGTTATAAATAAAGAAAAAGAATAGAGAAAAAAAGAATATTAATAAGAGAGTATTTCTTATTTCATTCAAGGGCGCTGAATACATTATATATGGCTTCTATTTATAGGCACAATTTTACATCTTTGATAGAATCTACAGATATAAAAGATAATTCCAGATAATGGAAATAATGGGAGATATTGAAGATATTGGGAGATAAGAGAGATAATAATAGATACATGGATATCTATAAAGATATTATATTCATAACAACGGTAACATTTTTGCAAATAAAATGTTAGATTATTAACTTTATATGCATGCTCCAACAAACCTGTGAACCTTTTTTTGCATTGGTTATGTAATAATCAATGTAAAATAAATCTTTTTAGCCGGCGTAAAACGGTTTTTGTTTTTTTTGTTTTGGGTACTAGCAAGTGTTGTCATTCCAATTGTATATTGTGGAAGGTAAAATGTGAATGTTTGAGTGAGTGGGTTTAATATACAAACTAATTTAGCCCAAATTTTTCATAGGTCATACAAAAAAAAATCACACTATAATTAATTAAACATAATATTGATAACTACTGATTAATTTTCTAAAAGAGGAAATAATATCTCTATATGTATATATGTACGTATATAATTCTTGATTTATATTTATGAATTTGGTCAAGATGTCTCCACGCTGAATTGACTAGCTGGCAACCCGCCAAAAGTTTACTAGAAAATTCAAACGCAACATTAATTTAGTGCTACACATTGTAATTGAATATTTCAAGATGCTAAAATCAAATAAATTAATTGTATATTAGCGGGATCAAACCGTCTGAAATTTTTCACAGAAACACAGTGACATTACTATGCCTCAAAAGAATAATCAATTATTTCTAATTTTTATATATACTACCTCCGGTCCTTAATATAAGACCTTGTTTGATTTTTATTTTGGTCCTAATTATAAAACCCAAATTCACTTTGTCTCTATATCTGTGCATTTTTTTCTAAGGTAGTCATTCTAATAATGGTAGTTCTAACCAATGAATTTGGTTAACAAGAATATTTTTAGAAAAGACAACATCTATTTATTACAAATAACTAACTTAACTTATTTCCTTAATCTCCTCAAATTAGTCAACTAGCTCTTATAATTAGGATTGGAGGTAGTAGTAGAGAAATAGGAAAAAGGCAAGCGTGGTTTGGAAGAGAGAATTTTTAATTTGGCTCCACAATCACTTTAAAAGTCATGAAATTTAGGGTCGACATCATAATATATTACCAATACAACATATATATAATGTATTAAACTTTCGTTATAGCGGCTCTCACACAAAATATATATATATATATATATATATATATATAGAGTGTGTGTGTGTATTATTTGTGACTATATCATTGTCCATGATTGTGATTTTGTGACTATAATTTTTTGTATTCAGTTAGAGTAATGCTAATCCCCTAGTCTTGAAAACTTTCTCTCAACTAAAAAAAATTGTTCTTTAATAGAAAGTGTACCTTTTATGAGGAATTTGGAATATATATATATATATAGGTCTATTTTCAGCTGAGATTTAAAGTTTGTTCTGATTTTATTTCAATTTTTTATAATTCAGATGTTGATAATGTCAAACTACATGAACTATGAAGATTTAGTTGATCAAGTAATAATATTTATGACTTATAAATTACACAATCTTCATAAATTTTATATTATATGAGATTAAGTTAGATACTGAAAACTGGACTAGCTAGATTGCAAATCTTCTTCCCTCAGTTATTCAACTACCCAGTGCTTATATACAGCCAAAACATCTCTCTAAGAAAGAGACTTGTGATATTGTTATTCTATTTACCAAAGATTCTCTATCCAAGTTTCATTTAAAAAACATGTTAATTAGTCCATGTTTTCAAAAAGAAAAAAGAAATGTACATATATAGGTACAATGCCTCGGTGGATATCATGAAGTTTTTCAATAAAAATTTATAATAATTTAAAGCCAATTTTTTGCTCAATATATAATCAATCAATGATGTGATTGTAAATTAGGTGGTGCATGTGGTTACCAATTTTTTTTTTTCCAAAAAAATACACGGATGATAAAATTTGCAAACAAAAAAAAAGTAAACCCTGATTTTTAATTAATGGATGTTGAGTGTGCAAATAGACGTGCGTGTGAAATTTTCTAAGTCCCTCACTCACTCATCACAAAACATATATATGATAATGACGTTTTATTTAAATTTTGGAGGAGACATGATAAAGGTTAGTTAGTATAGCAATGAGACTTAATAAGTAAACAGATAGGTGCCCTCTAAAAAGTGAAACCCAAAGAATATATCTAACTTGATGAATTTTGACCACCCAAACTTAATTATTATCCCTACATTCTCATTTTAGACTTAAATGCACACAACTATCACCACCGATCTCTCTATTTTTTTTAAGGCATAAGAATTTTTTTTTATTAAAGATAATTTTGTTGGTAGCACTATGAGATACTCCTCCGATCCTAATTATAAGACCCAATTGACTTATTTGAGGAGATTAAGGAAGTAAGTTAAGTTGGTTATTTATAATAAATAAGTGTTGTTATTCCTAAAATATCCTTGCTAATTAAGTATATTGGCTAAAACTATCATTATTAGAAGGATTATCTTGAAAAAAAATGCATAAATATAAGAGAGAAAATGGATTGGGTCTTATAATTAGGACCAAATAAAAAGTCAAATTGGGTCTTATAATAAGGACCGGAGAAGTACTAAATATGAGCACCTTTTATCATGAGTATTAAAATTTTAGTTCGCCACGCTAAAAAAAACTTGCTCCTTTCACTATATCTAATCCTTACTGGTAGGATCTCTCTATACACACATAGTATATATTATATATCTAATGTTAAATTGAAACATTATAATGCTAGATCTTATTGATAGTAACTCTTTTAATGTAACTTTTTTTTAAAACTCTCACAACATTCAAATAAGCCTTCATCAAGGGCAATTCTATCGCTTTATGTAAGATTGGTCTATGATTCAAGTTATTTTTGTTGTGAGGTTATTGTGAGATCCTGTTGAGTGTTTCGAATGTGATTCTAATTTTATATTAGATAATAGAATACTTTTCGGGTTTATTTGGAATGACTTATAAATAACTTTTTAATCATAATTCACGAAATACGAGATAAGTATGTGAGAAAATTTTTATTTCAGAGCTTATAACCACATCCATACAGGCACTCAATCTTATCACCATTGATATATATATATATATATATATATAAGTTTAATCATACCATCTAGAGCTGTTCACAGGACGTATCGGGACCGGGACAAGCCCGTCCCGGTTCTGTCCCGATAAACAGTAACGGGACAGATTTTCTATCCCGTGTCCCGGCCCATCCCGGGGTTGTCCCCGGTCCCGGTCGGGACAGGACGGATTCGGGACGGGACCGGGACGTCCCGAAAATCCTTTTTTTTAATTTTTTTAAAAAAATCTGATTTTTTTAATTATAGTTTTTTGAGTTTAAATCTTATAAAAACATCTTTTTATTTTCTTTTTTATTTGTTTGGGCACTCTTAAATAAAAGCTCAAAATATTACATATAATAGTCATTAAAAACTCTAAACAAAAGCTTTTAACACAATAAAAACTTACTAAAAATTCTAATCATCAATAATCTCAAATCATTAACAAATATAAAAACTCTAAATAAATATATCTATAGTTCCATACAATAGTCTCAAATCTTAAAAAAATATGAAAAAAATGATATTATATAAATAGGATAAAAAAAAAAAGGAACCGGGACGGGACGACCCCGTCCCGTGTCCCGTCCTGGTCCCTTTTTTGTCCCGTCCCAGTTTGTCCCGTCTCGAAAAATTTTGGGACAGATCCGTCCTGTCCCAATAAAACCGGGACGGGCCGGCCTTGAACACCTACCATCATATTAATTCACAGCTGTTTTAAAGGCTGGTTATAGTATAATAAACAAAGTTTGTTTTTTGAAAAAAGGAAGAGATAGATGATGACGTGGCAGAGCATACTTGGTAAATCCCATTTTCAAAAGCTTAATGATTGACAGAATAAACACAAGAAAATGACAACCAAAATCACTGTTTGTTTTCCCTTTAATCCCGTTTCTTTTTTTGAGAACTCGGACATGGGGAACAAAACCTCATCGAAATTTGAACACATCCATACACTAACGAACGTGTGTGTGTGTGTATGTATATATAAGTCAATATAAATTCGGGATAATTCATTTGTTCACAAAAAACACTAGTATATTGAAGCAGACAAATTAGTTGTTTAAGAATAGAATATATTCTTACAATTTTCCTCTCAGTATTCTTTATTTATAGGTAGGGAAATGACGGACTGTTTGTGGACTTTCTATACTAATTATCGAAATATCTGATATTTAATTTTAAATGCAAATATATTGGAACAAATTTAATCATATTTTATTTTATTTACAGATTAGAAGGTGTATGTATGCCATGAGACTAGTATCGTATACAGTTCAATAAACTAACCTAAAGTTTAACGCTTAATTTCTTTTTTTTGGGGACAAAAATAAGAAAGAAAACAAAGAAACATGCAAAATTGTCAGGAATTTCAGCTCTTTAAATAATAAGTATATAGCTTAATGATAATAAATTTGACCAATAAGGAAAGCAAATAATAATATATATGATGCAGAGAATAGGAAGTGAAAAAAAAGGAAAAAGAACTGAATGGAAAGCTTTTAGCCATACCTGTTAGAAACCTTAATCCATTGAACAATCATGTCGCAGTAAAATTGTAGAAATTAAAGCAGGGAAGGGGTCTACCAACCATGATATGTTAATTAATTAAATAATGGACAAGGTCTAATGCAATTAAATATTTCTTATAGACTTATCTATAATATAATTTATTATTTTCTTCATCTTTTATATATACTAAGAAAATCTATAATAAAAATCTAATGCATATATTTAGTTTTTAATTTTTTTTTATTTTGTGAGGTTCCTATCTTCACCTAATTATATGTTGATGAATTAATATGAGAGATAGTTTTTAGTAATTTCCAAAAACACAACTTTAAATTTTACAGATGGACAATGACAAGACAATCGAGTGAAATATTGCCAAATAAAGTTTTACAATGCCTAATCATTTCAAGGAGACTAATTCATGAAAATTAAGATCACAAAATAATTTAACTTTTATACACTGAGTAGCGTGAGTAGCTCTTTAAAATATATATGTGCATTTGGAGGAAATTTTTTAATGGGAGAATCCCACAAAAAGTTTAAAATTACTAAATTTTAAATAAGAAATTTTTAACAAAAATCTGTTATTATTTGCACGGTCAGATTTTTAAAATCAAATAAAGTGTTGTTGTCATCAAATCTAATTTGGAATTTAGTAATTTCAAACTTCTTGGATTCTCGGTCCCTTTTTTATCACATTTATAAATTTAAATTGATATTTCAAAAAGAGCTACTCATAAAATTTAAATTCATATATATATATATACAAATTGAAAAATGTTTACTTTTTAGATTTTAAAGTGCACTGCTAATGCTTTTTTGCTCTCTAATCATCTGTGCTTACTTTACGAGAGAAAGGAAAGGTAAGGACAATGGAATGCTGTATTTAAGCAAAATGTTACCGCAAAAAAAATTAAGCTTTAGTCAAAAGCAAAGTATATTCTATAAACAATAAACAATGACAATATTAAAGTAGGAAAAGTTTTTCCTGGTAATGAGAAAGAGAACAAAGGAAAAGACAGAAAGTTCACGTCAGAGTTAGCAGTAGTAAGGAGTATGTAGGGTTCCCCTCGGGCTGTGGTTTTTGTACAGAGGGAATCCCACCCCTTCTCTCTCCCCCCCCCCCCCTTTCTCTCTCTGTGAGTTTAAGCAACTGGGTCTCTACTTTTGTTTCTATTATTATCAGTGTGGATTTTTCTTGTTATTATATCCGGCCACCATGGTTTAATTTGGAACCATGAAGAAGAAGAAAAGCGACTAGCTAGCCAGCTATATTCCCATCGGGGCTCATTTCTGATTTAGTTCTCTTTGTACTTATATGTATCAGTCCGTCTTGGTTCTTCTGCTCTTAGACAAACAACAGAAAATTTCATCGTCTCTTTGGTTGGTGCCAAGGCAGAAAACTCTATCTAGATTATTGTTTGTTCAAGTAGGAGTACTTGTATTTTCTTTTTTTTGGTTAATTTTTTAACTCTGGATTATTTCAAAGGGTATTACTCCTCTTTCGATTCCTCTTGCTTTGATTCCAAAAATCTTTTTAATAATATGCGAAGAACAAGATCTAGTATGGACCATAATACTGCAGAAATCTTAGGATTCGGGGAATTTCCATGTTTGAGAAAAAGATAGATGTCTGGTTGGATCGATGCTTCACGTCCACCAACAGAATCACCATCATCAGGTAGTGCAGGAAAATAATAACATGTCTAATTTGATGACTACTTCTGCATCTGCTGAAGGCAATGTTTCAACTGGTACCGCCAATTATCTTCCTCATCATCAACAATACTTGGCTCCTCCATCATCATCTTGTTCGTCTCAATCTCAGCCAGCACTGAAGAAAAAGAGAAACCTCCCTGGCAACCCAGGTTGTTCCCATTTTCCTCTCCAAAAATCCTTAAACCACACTTTGTTTCTCTAACGTTGTCTCGTCGCATAATCGACTGACTTTGTCGTTCTTGTGTATGTGTCTTTGAATTGGGTTGATTATTTGTGTTGTGTTTGTGTTCATCAGACCCAGAAGCTGAAGTGATCGCCTTGTCTCCAAAGACTCTGCTAGCAACGAACAGGTTCATGTGCGAGATCTGCAACAAAGGGTTTCAGAGGGACCAAAATCTGCAGCTTCATAGAAGAGGGCACAATCTGCCATGGAAACTGAAGCAGAGAACGAGCAAAGAGATGAGGAAGAAGGTATACGTGTGTCCAGAACCAAGCTGTGTTCACCATAACCCTTCAAGAGCACTGGGAGACCTCACAGGGATTAAGAAGCACTTCTGCAGAAAGCATGGAGAGAAGAAGTGGAAATGTGAGAAGTGCTTAAAGAGGTACGCTGTTCAATCCGATTGGAAGGCTCACTCCAAAACCTGTGGCACCAGAGAGTACAGATGTGACTGTGGAACTCTCTTCTCTAGGTAACTAAATTTTTAACTCAAAAAATTCCATTTATGTATTATTATATATCTATTTGGTTTGCTGCGCGCTTCTTTCAGACAATGGTCTTTTCCATATTGGTTCAATATTACTGTCCAAACCCCAAAAGATATCAAACTCTCTAGGTTGTTAAGAAGAGGTAGTAATTAATTTTCTTTTATAGACTGACCTCAATTAATTGTCCAGTTTACGGTGTATCATATCCGCACCAGTTCAGATGTCTATTAGAATATGCAATAATATATTCACATTGCTCCTTAGACACTTTGGACAAGTGATAGAAAGGTTCATGTTTTGTAATTTATATATTAATTCAAGTACTCATCCGGTCCTTAATATAGGACCCAATTATTGAGTTGGTTTTGGTCCTAAATATAAGACCCACTTCTTATATTTATCAATTTTCTCTAACCTACCCCTATGAATACTCCCTCAACCATAATCAAGTAGAAAAGGGATAGAGGTATTAAGAAAGATGATTGTGGTGTTTTAGGAAAAACATGTCACATTTTTTATAATTAACTAACTTACCTAACTTTCTTAACCTAATCAAATTAGTTAAATAGGTTTTATATTAATGACCGGAAGAGTACTAGAATAATATGTGGAATATTTTTCAAGTAATATCTTACCATCAAGGTTTTCTCAGAAGTAGTTATTAAGGATGGAGAAATGAAGCTGAGGGATAAAGAAAAGAGTGCTGAAAGATGAAAACTCAAAATAATTTGAGGATAATCTGGAGACGAGATAAAATAAATAATAATAAAAAGGAGAAAGAATATTGCAGAAGAGAGATAGGTGACAAAGACTGAAAGAGATGAAGTCAATGCTTGTGTAGTGTCAATGTGTCACATATATGGAGAACATTTAATGAGTGACATATATGTTTGTGATATTATTATTATATATTTTTCAGGAGGGACAGTTTCATAACGCACAGAGCATTCTGTGATGTATTAGCAGAAGAGAGTGCTTTAAGATCAGGAAACAACCAGCAAGTTCTTCTCCTTCCCTCTTCACAACCACACTTCAACAATAATATTTCTCAGGAAATATCTTCTTCTTCTAGCCTGTTCAGGCAGGTAATCCAGATTCCCTCTTGGCTTGGTGGTGGCCCACCCACTAGCTGTGCTATAGATCAGCACCGTCAACTTCATCATCTTGGCCATGAAAGTCCAAACCCTAACCCTACTGCTAGCCTAGGTCCCACCACCCCCACCACCGCTGGTCTTCTTCCCGCTTACCAACTTCCAGGTCCAGCGCCTTCTTCGCACATGTCAGCCACAGCCTTGCTTCAGAAAGCGGCTCAGATGGGTTCAACCATCAGCAGAACCGGTTCGCCCATGCTCAGGACCCACACCAACCCTAGTCACGTGTCTGCTACTACCACCACTCATCACTCTCCCGCTTTGAAACCTCAAGGTCACGTGACTACGACCAGCTCCGGCCATGGCTTCTTGTCTCCTTTCTCTTTCTCTTCTACTTCTGATCAGTTTGCAGGTGCGGCGGGTTCTTTCGAGGAGGCTTTGATTATTAATGGTGGGATATTGAATCCCAAGAAAGATGCGAACTTGCGCGACGGTGCTCCTTTCAAAACAACCGATGCCGGCGGCGGTCGGAGTGCTGGGAACGAGGGTTTGACGAGAGATTTTTTGGGTCTTAAACCTCTTTCCCATAATGATATTCTCAGCATGGCTGGTATTGGAAACTGCATGAACTCTTCTTCCTCTTCCCTCCAGGATCACCGAATTGGTCAGTTCCAATGGCAAGCTTAATTCCGACTTATCACTATTTATCATATATATACATGAGTATCTTCTTTTATATTTCTATATCAATTTAGAATTTCGCCTTTGTTATAATCCGAAAAAGGCAAGGCACATATATATATTGTAATTCCTTATTAAGTTAATTATTTGACGAAAATTTTAGTTAATTCACATGCATGGTAAAATCTTGATGTACATTATGGTAATATGCATATGTGTGTGTATTCTCTCACATTACTACTATTATCTTCTTATACTTCTTTCTTTAACTACTTGATTCGATCAGTTTAAGGTTTTGTTCTTTTCTTAATTAGTCTCACAATAATCACATGATCACCACTCATCTCAGTCCTTCGTAATGTTTCTTTGTTTTTATCCGCGAAAATTTGTTTTAGAGGAAGTAGAAGAAAGATCCAAATTAAATAAACTAAAGTAATAGGAAATCCAGTAGTTTCAACCACATGATATTCATCTAATGTATATGTACTCTCTCCGTCACTAATTATAAATCATCTTCTAAAAGTTATTTACGTTCTTATTTATAAGTCAATTTGCAAAACTTATAAAACAACCAACAATTATAATGATGGTTTTCGATATATGGATATTATTAAGTATATATGGTGGGGAAAGATTGAAAAATGAGTAGTATTGAGCAATGATTAAAGAACCGGACCGAACCGGACGGTCGGACCGGTTGAACCGTCACCCGGACTCGTTAACGGCTCGGTTTGGACCAAAAAACCGTTCACATAGTTGAGCCGGATTGGACCGGAGTTGAGCCGTTATTAAGCCGGAAACCGGAGTTGGACCGGAAACCGGAACGGTTTTCAGAAAACCGGACGGTTTTTTAGCCTGACTGAAAAATACTAAAAAATTTTTAAAAAATAGAAGAAAAATAAAAAATTGATCCCCTTAAATATCCTAATATATTTTTAGACTATTTATAACCATATAGTATTATTTCATTGAAAATTTCATATATTGTGGTGTTAAAATCGTGAGTCGCTAGTCTTTTTATTTCGATATTTGGTCTATCTTTTAAAAAAATATTTTGATTTGAATGAATTGATAATTTGTAATATCATTAAATATTTTAAACATACATAAATTTAAATATATAAGGTTTTAGTCCATTTTCAATGATTTCATTATAATTTTAGATTATTTAAATGCATTTCTAAATTATTTAATAATTTGATATTTTTCATATATACTAATTATATGTATATAATATTGTTTTAAATTAATTATTGCGTCACCGGTCTAACCGAACGGTCCAACCGATCCGACCGATTGAACCATGACCCGTTGATCTTTCCGGTTTGATTTCCGGTCCGGCTTTTAAAACATTGGTATTGAGTCATAGGGTTTATTGCATGTAATTTAGAATAACTTTCTAACAAAATTGAGTAATTTTACCCATTAATTACCAACTTAATTATTTATTAGTTTATGCGAATTAGTTAAAAGTCACTTGTAGATACAAATGGAGGAACGCAAAATATATAATTCTTAAAAGGTTAAGGACTTAAATGTTCTTGCTTCGAACAAGGACATGGCTAGCAAGCCTAGCTAAAATCATATTGTCAATGGCTATATTCACCCTGCAATTTGAGCCATAATCAAAATCAGAAAAATCATATATACTTTCTCCTTATCTAATGAAATTATATACTTGTCCTTATTAGCATGGCATTAGCTGTTTTTCACTAATTAGATCTTGGGTTTATTTGTTTAACCACCGTCATTGATTACAATGTCCTAACCAATGAGATGCCTGCTCAGATTCTAGTCCAGATGGTATAAATTACAACCATGGCCATTGTTTAAAATATTTATATATTTTATATATGATATATGTATAATATATCGATATTGATTTAATTCCTATCAGAAATACTACCTCCTGTCCTAATTATAAGAACTCATTTGTACACTATAAATTAGGTCTTATAATTCGAACAGGAGGTAGTTTATTAAACTGATCTCCTATTCGCCTTGAATTAATCCAATTAATTCAAGTTGATCGAGTCAATAGAAAAAAATTACTCAAGAAAAACAAAAGTGTGACCCATTTCATTTTTTTTTTTTTTTGCTTATTCATCCAAAACAACAAAGACCATTTCAGAGACAACATCATAGTTGTGATTACACAGAGAGTGAAATACGTCTAGGCCGTTTAATCCCATTAAATTCCCCATAGTTTCTGATGTGGATAGATGTTTAATTAACTACTATCCTCGTACTTAATGTAAGAGCTGGTTTAATATTCAATTTGGTTCTAAATAGAATATTTTAATCCACTTTATCTATCATATTTATTTTTTTCCCCTTAAGGTAGTTCTTGTAGTAGTTGTAGTTCTTGCTAATACAGATGATTAACAAGAATATTTTAGAAAAGACAACAAATACTTATTACAGATAATTAATTTAACTAATTTTTTTAATCTACTCAAATTAGTCAACTAGTTTTTATATTAAAAACTAGAGGAGCACTAATTAGAATGGTGTGTGTGTGAATTTTGAGGAATTAAAACAAAAAGAGGAGAAAAGGAGAAGCTATGTATTATTTGATACTTGAAGTGGCTGCAAGTGGGGGATTCAATCCCGAGAAAATGATGATAAATCTCTTGCATAGATACAGTGGTGGCTTTTTGATTTTGGATTTCACAAAAATAGATCATCCATAAATCTACTTTTCATTAGATTCCCTTATTTTTTTTCTCTTTCTTTTCTCATCTGTGTTTGTTTCGCTGTCAAAGGGGACTTTGTCTTTTTGTTCTTCCAAAGTTGTTATCCAAACTGTGAAGACGACGACTCCACCACACACACACACACACACACACACACACACACACGCACATAATCATCTTCTATGTGAGAGTCTCTTCTAATAAAGCTCCAGGAAGCTATAATATAATTCAGCTTAGACTTAATAAGAGCACTTCAAGAAGTGCCTGTGAAGGTGAATATATAGAAAATGGTTCAGGTTGAGAAGAGAAACAGCGGATCGTCGGTCTCAATTTTGTACTATGCAGAGTGTGAAGTGACCCTTTTTCTTTTCTCTTCTGTCTTTTCAGATGAACATTTTTAACCAAACAAAGTAGCAGCTTGCTAGGGTTTTGTGTGAAAATATTACTTTCACAGAAACCTGCCTAAAAGTTCTATATAAAAATAAGCTCTAAAAATTTTATATTTATCAATTAAATTTGGTTATTTACAAGTTAAATTTACATATTTACAAAATAAATTTATATTCTTACAAGTAATACTTACAAAAAGTTAAAGGAAAAATTCCAGAAAAAACCCTTGGAATATAGGAAATTCTAGATTAGGTCCTGGAACTGGAATTTCCTATATTCCAAGGGTCGATGACCCAATCTGTCATTTATAAAATCAAGAAGAATTGACAATTTTGCCCTCGCTAAGCAAAAGTGAGTAGTTATTCTCTAAACAAATATAGGTAACGCTTACACTGTTCTAGTGATTACATGATTAGTTGTAATTAATAACAAGGTACCTCACTACGAAAAAATAAATAGTTATTCTCTACATGAATCTAGATAACACTTATACAGTTCTAGTGATTACATGATTAGTTGTAGTTAATAACAAGGCACCTGATTACGAAAAAGTAGTAGTTATTCTCTACATGAATCTAGGTAACACCTAAACCTTTATAGTGATTCCTTAATCATTGTAGTAAATGAATACAAATGAAGGCAAAGTTGTCAATTCCTCTTGATTTTACAAATGACAGATTGGGTCATTGACCCTTTCTGTCATTTACAAAATTCTAGAACCCAATCTGGAATTTCTTATATTCCAAGGGCTTTTTTTTTGGGATTTTCTCAAAGTTAAATTCTCAAGACAAACTAGTATTTACTTTTTTTATTGGAGACAATCTTATTTGAGTATTGTTGGATAACAAATATGAACATATTTTTCAATAAAGATTAAAATCTTGGTTTGACAAAATTGGGAGGAACTAACTTGTTTTGCTACACACATCAATCCATGTCCTTTTCGTCAAGTTTTTGGTTCCTTAATTCTAACATGCATCTTTGGATGGTGATTTTACAGTTTTTCATCAAATTATGGACATCCTATATTCTGATCTCTCATAGTGATTTTGGCTTCAAAACAAAATTTACACATATTTCTCTTCTTTTTGAATTTTGTATAAACTATTGACAAAAGGGATCTCATAGCAATATGTGAATGCGGGAGGTTTATATATCCTGATAGCTTAATTAGCAGATTAGTGAAGACAAAAAACAAAACAAAAAACGAGAGAGAGAGAGAGAGAGAGAGAGAGAGAGAGAGAGAGATGGGAGGGAGGTACATATCCCTGTAAATTATTGTCTGAGATAAGGGATGTTAGGTCAATATATGTGTACTACAATACTCATATAAAAAAGCCAACTTTGAAAGTGCTGTTTGCCAACTTCTGCTTTCATGGGTTTCGCAAAGCCTCGACATCCCCCCCCTCTCTCTTTCCACCCAAAGATTCTTCTGAATCCTAATACTCTCTCTCTATATATAAAGTATCTATTCATTTGTTTATATGTGTGCGTGCGTGATATATATATACTCCTCTAATTTTAAATATAAAATTTATTTTATAGTAGAATTTATACTATAAAATAAGTTTTATATTTAGAACTAGAAATATATATATTCATTCATCTCTCGCACACAGAAGCAGCAGAAAGGAAATGAGCACATCATAAGTATGGGTCGGATTATAAAATGTCTTTCTCTCAAATCGATATTTACATTTACGATCAAGTTTATTGATAATGTGAAGATATAGACATCCTATATGTAATGGTTACATAAGGAACAAAACAACCCCTTCTAAAGGGTCATTTTCCCCAAAACTCTCGGGGATTGTAAGAAGAGAGGACTTATGTTAATCTCCTTATGGGGATTATCTTTCATACTTTCAACCCATTAACTAAGGATTCTTTATATAGTGCCTCGACTAAGATGAGTTTAGTCTCTCTTAACAGATGATGATCAGATTTTCGAAATTGGTGCACTACTTTTTTGCAATGAGATGATGTTTGTTTTTTTAAATAGTGTGCGGCCATTCTCCCCTAATAAGAGATTCATATATAGAATAATTAATTGTTATATCCTAACTACTTTCAATTCTTAACATAAGAGTTAATTTGACATTCAATTTGAATTTAAATATAAAACTTAAATTTATTTTGTCTTCCA